TTTTGATCTGTGGGAGAGGGGGGGAAAAAGTGTCAGTAAGCAGTTAACTGGTTTACATGATGTTATTTTTCATTACACTAAAGCATCTCTGCCCTCTAGTGGTAACAGAGGCATCTACAGTTAAACTTACCATTAGACGTATTTACTAAAGATTGGTTCTATAACTAAAAGGTGAACAAGAAACTACGAGCTCCACTAAGAAAAGGAATGTACTGAGCTCTGGGCACTCTTAAGCTTTGGAACAAGTCTTTCATGTCACGTATACTCTCTAAATTCCCTATGAACTTCAATTTACTAATCATAGTTGCTCTTTCTACATCAAAATCACTCCCCCATGGTAGCCGGCCTCAGCATAGAAGTCTGAGGATTTTCCATCTCCTTCTAAGATTTTAGGGGGGGAAAAAATGCAGCGCTTAGCATCCCTAGAGACAACCCTCTTCTGTTCTGCAGTCAGAAGTAAAGCCTGCTTTGCTCCAGAAGTTTCTGTATACCAGAGAACCCTCATTAGTTTGTAATAGTGACTGGGTAACCTAAAGTATAATCTGTATATATAACTAAGTCTTGATAGTAAGAGTACCTCTTATTTTTAGGACACCCAAACTGTGCTATCCTTTACAACAGTTGTTTTCAAACTTTTTTAGGCTGCATACCACTTTCCAAATAATGTAGTCTACCACATACCCCCATCTGAGATGGAAATCTAATCATATTGTCATAATATACCTAAGTCTTACTAAATAAAATGCATTGCCCACTGTTATAGGATTCTTCTCATGTACCCCATTTTGAAAACTACGGCTTAATAATGAGTCAGAGCCTAATCTTAGATAACGTACAGTTTAAATAGACTACAAACAGAGAGAGGTGGGGATAGAGGACTATTTTACATTTTTCAGTTATATTTTTACCCTATCATTATTTATTTATTTATTTATTTTAAAAGGCACACAACTAGAAATCTAATCAGTTCAACAAAGAGTGAATTTCAATTTGTTTCAGGCATCATACCGGCCATGAATCTTCCTATTAATTTCTGTAGGATTTAAAAGTAGAAAAATACCTTGTAGTCACATTTTCCTGTCCCTGCTCTGTTGTTCATGTGGCTCTTTAACAAGGAGACAGTGACACTGACTATACGCGAAACATTAACTAAATACAAAAAGTAAACTGAAAAAAAATAGAATTTTTTTTCTCCAATCTCTTCCAGGTGTTACTTGTAACGATTGTGAGCCAAAAATGTTCAGAGAGATGTGTAGTTTTTAAGCCGATAGTGTCTTCAACTCTTTGCTAATGACGGTCCCTTCATATAGATTTCAATATTAAAGCTTTGCTGAGAAGCAAATAGACTGGCAGTTAGTACATGTGGTTTGGGATTAGTGAGGTTCTGCTGTATTATTATTATTATTATTATTTTTTAGAAGAAATTATGTTCAGCTCTGTATAGCTAAACATGAAGCAACACACACACTTACTTGATGTTATATATTTTTCTTGCTACTATCATTGGAAAATCCACTTCAAAATATTTTTTAGGGAGAAGATTTTCATCCTGGAAAAAAATCAGAGCAAGAGTCCAACCTTAGGGGATATTCACGCTTCACACAGAGAGAATGGGGGACTTGGTTTAGTTTTCCCCTGAACAGTTTTGTTTCATGTTATAGTAGAATTTCCAGTTCTTCATACTTTAATGCTTTGGGTTTTTTGTTTTGTTTTTTTTAAATAAATGAACTAAAAATTAAGAAACAATATACCACCCAATAGTAAAGAAACTACCATTTAAGATATTCAAGTAATCTGGACACACAGTATGGTTTGGCAACCAACATACTGGAAACTGAATTGCAATATACTGTCACGACATAGTATACAACAGCCAGTTGCAGCAACAGAAAACTTCACCTATGGTGTTCACTCAGTGTATGCCTCCAAGGAAGGAAAGAGGAACATTGCACAGGGATGTATTAGTCAACTGCTCACAAATATGTACCTGCTATGTGGCCAAACTGCTGCATCTCTCAAAAAATCCACCCAAAGGGTTAGTTTTAGTCCACGTTCTAGAGGACAGTTGTGTGTGCAGTCCACAACTTGCACTCATGCTGGCAATCTCAGAGAATCAGAGCTCAATACTCCCATCAGCACGAAGTGGGAGTCCCACCAGACCCAAGTTTAGGCACAGAACCAGGATAGCATGGGAAAGCTTGCCCTGTCCCACTCCCTATACAGTTGTTCTTCTGGGGATAGCTAGGTATTGCTAGCTCCAGGGCTGTCAATCTTGCAACCTTCTGAACGCTATATTAACAAAGAGTTGTGTTAACTACCAAGGAGAACATGGACAATTATTCTTAACTGGGTCTCTTTTTCTATATTACACCTGCTGGTCACGAGGAACAGAAGGGGGTGTAGCACAAGGATATAATTAAAGGCACCACTCTTAGTTTTGTTAAACCTTGGTAACAATATTTCAACATGGTTTTATAGCATGAGTGCAGGCAGGGTAAAGGCCTCAGTGCTTAATTTTTTTTTTTTTTTTTTAAATCCAATTTATCTGGATGACTATAACACAATGGTTTACGGTCCTGCTAAATAAACTTAGTTTTTTCAGGCTGTCTTCCAGCAATCCATTTACATTGATAGGACCTGATCCTGCAAAATGCTAAACACCCTTACCTCTTATAAAAACGAGGAAGGACGAGAGTTTGCTTTTATATAGAATCTTACCATAAAATTTGTCATTTAGAATCTTTCAAAGAATAATTCATAGTAGTATTTAGGACACCCAGAGATGGTGCCAAGTATCATGTTGCACTTGCTCTCTCTTGATTCTGGATTTAGACCCTTAAATACGAGCAAGGATGGAAGTATTATAGATGACACTATAGCTATAAGGAATAGAGAACTAGGATGTTTCCAAACAGCCACTAGAGGTCACCTTTGTGCCAAGCACTCCTACATGACACTGGATTGACTGGTCAATAATTTGTTTCTTATGAGAAAATAGGAGAGTTTCAGATATGTACAAACCCTTCCTTTTGCTCATGTCATGATTCTGAGTGATCATCACCTTTAATCTCCAGAACATGGTATCCAAACCGGCACCAAGATTTATGATTTGACAGTTGCATTCTGTCTCCTTTAAAAAAGCCTTAAGTAGCTGACTGACTCCATGGACACGAGCGTAGTATCCTGCAGAAGAAAATGCGTTAAAAAAACCCAGACAACTAGAACCACTAGATGCTCCCCTATGGGATATGTATATTCTATGTTTTGGGGTTTTTTTAAAATTAAGATTACTAACAGAGCTCCACACCTGAGGAACTGGAAATTTCAGTTTAAAAAGAGTTCAAACTGAGTCATCTTTGCAGATTAATTCTGGGAGATGTACAAACTATATAGCTGCTTTTATTATTCTCATGTGGAGAGTATTACTGCCCTGTGCTTTGAGGTCATGGGTCACATCCCTGGTCTTTGGTTGCTTTATGTAGTACACTAGATGTTAAGTGGGACACGCATGAACACACGGTTTACAATACTAAAGACGGAATGTGACAGAATATTAGAAAGTAACGTTCCAAGAGCGAGGGTCCAGTGTGCAATCATTACACTGGGGAGATGTACCTATTACATGATTCCCACATACATTCTAGGATATCCAGTATATGGAAGCTCTATCTTCTGTTGTTCAAAAACTCCACATGTTCAGAGTATCTTTGCATGTCTTTGTTTAAGTTCACATGCTAACTTGCCTCTATTAATTTCAGGTGCTTTCCTTTCTTTTGCCTGTCTCACAAAATATTGGATGTAAGGATCCTTCCAGTAGCCGATACTTACAGCAAATCTGACAAGGGCATGGGGTGGAGGAGGAAAAAAAAAAGAAGAGGAGGATTAGCAAATAGAGCCATCAGGGTTTACTGATGAAGACTTTACCGAGACAGACAAGCTAAAAAGCTGTCCTGAGACTGTCTTCCAAAGAGATATGCTTGAGTGAGAGACTTAAAATGCCACTGAACTCCCGAGACCGTTCAAACACATACAGATTACATAAAGTAATTCTAACTAGAAAAAGACAGCTGTTACTATTGTAACATTTTAAATGTATTTCTCCCGATGCATTTGAAGAACTTCACAGAGAGGAAAAGCAAAGTTCAGGTACCACCTACAAAATAATTTGAAGAACTTCAGTCCAAAGATTTCTTCCATGAGGCCCAATAGACAGCTCAACTACATTGTCTGTGTTAAATTCCAAGGACAGCACATCACATGGATTATAATTCCACACATCAACCTAATCTCTAATGGGTATGTGGCTTGTATGCACTTATACCAAATTGGAGCCTCCAAGTGCTACCTTAACACTAACAACAATAATACCGCCCCCGAACCTCTTCACAATTAACTCTCAGAACTAATCGTCAGCATGTTGTCTCCACAACACTGACCATAATGACATCAATGAGGGCAAAACTAGAGGTACTGAAAGATTAGACTACAGTAAAAGATTTATAAGTCACTTGAAAAGACTGTCCAGAGACACCAAACATTACTAAACGGTGTCAGACTTCCATTGCAAGTATGACGCACATTCTCTTCACCATATGGCTTTATATATAATCTCTACAAAGTCAGGATGTTTTTTCAAGCCCTGCTCTTAAATGTCTGTCCAAAACGTATCAAGGGAATAAGTGTACTAAGTAAAATTAAAAATAAGTGTGCCACCCTGCCTGGACCCTCCATCCAGGGTGCTATATTTAACTCTAAGTCCTGTCAATCAACTTTCTATGTAATTGTTTAGAACAGTGGTTTTCAACCTGCGAGGGGTCTGCAGACTATGTCTACGATTTCCAAAGGGGTACGCACCTTCAGGGGAAGGAGTTTTGTAGGGGTCCACAAATGAAGAGAGGTTGAAAACCACTGGTTTATAATGTAATTTACTACATCCCTTTTACTCGGAAAACCAACCAGCGAAAACAAAAAACGCCTTAAGCCTTCTGGACTCACTCCTCCTCTTCTTCTTTTCTTTTCTAAATAGACCTTGGTGAATTTCCTTTCCTTCTTTTGCCACCTACTCTCTTTCCTCATTTATACATATATAGGGGAGAGGGGCTGAAGCCCTCCGAAACCCCCAAGTTACCCGCACCTTTACGCCATACATCTTCTGTGAGTGCAGACTCCAACAGTCTCTCCTGTAGCCCCCCGTCCCATTGCCGACCATGCAGTGCAGGGACTGAAGGCCTTTAGCAGCTCTCACGGCACCTGGCCGGCAGATGTCAGGTGCCCCCAAGGCCGGGGCAGCCTCGCTGCATCCCCTGCCCGGCTAGCTCCCCCACGCCTGGGGGGAGGGGTCTCCCCAGCCAGCTTCTCCACCCCCGGGCCCTTCCCCCACCCCCAGCGCCCCTCTCTGCCCCCCTCCCCCCGGCTCCGGCCCCGCGGCCCGGCCCCCGCGACACCCCCCGCCCCGGTACCGTTTACAGATGGACGCGTCCTCGCAGGTGCCCCTCACCGCCTCGTCCGCCTCCTCGGAGCCGGCAAAGCACAGGGTGTCCCGCACGGCGGTCGCCATGGGAGGGGGTCAGCGGGGGGGAGGCCCAGACAGGGGCATGGAGCTGGGAACTGCAAAGGGGCTCGCAAACCTCCGCGCAGACTTCCGCCCCTACACGCTAGCCCCCGCCCATTGGGCCTTCCCGCCGCCCATTGGCCAGTGGCTAGCAGCCGCATGACGAAGGGAGCTGCTGTTGGTCAGTTGTACTGCCAACTCAAATTCGATCCAATACGAACGTGGGAAAGCTAACAAGCGCCGCCCATTAAAGGTCAGCGCGCCGCAGGGGCTTCTGGGAGATGTAGTCCTAGCTGCTCACAAACGTTAAATAATAGTATTTAATTAATAGCAGGACTGACCGGCCTCATCCTCCAAAAGCCAGCCCACAAGAGAGGAAAAATCAGTTTTCTCTAAGTGCTTACACTTCTGCAAACTTGATGTGGTCAGCACTGCTGGTCAGTATTACAGACTGATCCCACTAAAGCTTTATGTTGCAGAATCCTTTTTACCTCCCTAGGGCATGGTTTCCTTATACTGTCATAGAAGAATATCAGGGTTGGAAGGGACCTTAGGAGATCATCTAGTCCAACCCCCTGCTCAAAGCAGGACCAATTCCCAATTAAATCATCCAAGAGATTTTTTGCCCCATATCCCTAAATGGCCCTCTCAAGGACTGAACTCACAAACTGGGGTTTAGCAGGCCAATGCTCAAACCACTGAGCTATCCCTCCCGCCTAAAACTATATATAAGTAACTTCAATTGATTACAAGTGACTTTGTGCTGGGAATCTATCTATACTTCACATCAATGGGATTTACTTGGGGGACAGTACAGTCTCTAAATTTTAAAAAATTACCTGTCTGTTCACAATTCACTTGGTATTTGGGCTTCAAAGTGGTCCAGTGAATAAGGCACTGGAATGGGAATAAGGAGACCTGGTCTTTTCCAGTATTGCTCCTGACCTGCAGGGTAACTTGAGCAAGCCACTTCCCACTCTGTTTCCACTTACACCTTTTGTGTTTCTTGTTGTTAGATTGTAAAGCCTCGTACTACAGTAAGGAGCACAATGGTGCCCTGGTCTCAGCTGGTGCCTCTAAATACTACTGTAACACAAATAATAAAATATTAATGTCACCTAGGAGAACAGTGGTTTTGTGGCTAAAGGACAGGATGGCTTGGAAAGCAAGCAGTCATCATGGTTTGTGCTTTCAGCTCTATCTGTGTCTTGCTCTATGTCCTGATCTGTAAAATTGAGATATTTGCCTGTTTCACAGGATTTCATCAATAGCTGTTGAATACCTATAATCTTTTGGAGAGCCACAGAGGAAATACTACAGCACAAATATATTCTACTAGATTTCTACTTTTGCTGCATAAGGCTGTTTACTTTTCTATTTTTTAAAATATAGATTCTTAATGAACGATAACACACCAGAGAAACCCAACGCGCAGAAAGAAGTGATGTTGGTGTTTCAGTACATAGGCTTCTCTCTAGGTCAGTACTAAAGCTAATGCATTTGTTTGGTTAGAGCAAGTACTGTTAGAGAGTGGTGCAATTTTAGGGTGTAAAATAAGCTGGTAAACACGTGTGGATATTAAAGATTGCACTTCTGGCAAGTCTTGGGCCCTAGTGTCCCGGCCAAACTGCACTCCACAGTCATTATATTCTGTCTCACATTCGCTTCCTGCAGAAGCCTGTTCTATACCATTACTGCACCCTGCTACAAGCTACTTAGGGTTGCCAACAGTCCCTTGTTACAAGGGGCATCCATTATTTTTCCATCTCTCTACAAGAAAATGGAGAGGTGCTGAGTGCCGCAAAAAGCAGCAAAAAATACCCCTGGCACATGAAGGTGCTTGTTATTATTAATAATCATGAATGATGCTATCAGGAAGAGGAGTGAGTCGGGGGGGGCTAAGAAAACAGGCCCTCATTGGTGAAATCCCCAGGGATGCGTAGGCTGGGTGGCCTGAAAGGAAACTGCCAGCCAGCAGGGGCGGCGCAAGGCCCCAAAGAGGAGGGAAGCCAGGGGGACCCGGAGAGGAAGGGGGCACACGGCTGGGGTAAGCGACTCCTCTGCGGCTCCCCCTGCTCCGTGGCTGACCCCTTAGGAGCGGAGGGCCGGCCGGACGCCACAGCACCTGGCCCCGCCTGCAGGGCTCGGCGCGCTGCCCCAGGCAGGGCTCAGGCTGCCCCGGCTGCTGAGCAGGACACCGCGGCCTCAGGTCCAAGGGGCACAAAATGGCTCCCCGATCACCGCGTGACGCCAACATCCGGGCCTCAGCGCGCAGCGCAACGGCCCCGCTAGGTGGCCCCCATCCGGGTCTTTTCGCCCCCTCCCTTCCTCAGGGCCCGGATGTTGTCCACAAGGCAGGCGACTGGGTCACATGACGCTGGCACCCACGTGACTCGCTCCTCGCGGGGAAGGCGGAGCCGGAAGTGGCGCTGGTTTCCGGTGGGGACGGCCGGCTGGGTGTGCGGTGGGAGAGCGGCGCTCGGGGTTCGAGCTGCCGCGGGCAGCAGGGACGAGGCCGGGTCTGGCCGCAGCGTTTCCCGGGAGGCGCAGAGACAGGAGCCGCCGCCATGAAGAAGCAGTTCAACCGCATGCGGCTGCTGGCCAACCAGACCGTGGGCCGGTAAGAGCCCGGGAGCCCCTCACCCTGCCCGGGGCGGGAACCTGTCCCGGACCCCCGGGAACCTCCGGCGACGCTCGCTCCCCCTCCCCTCCGAGAGCCCGGGCGGCTGGCGCCCCGTTTGGAGGGGTCTGGCCCCGCCCCCTCCCCTTTGAGGGGGGGTCTGGGGGGGTCCGTCATCCTTTGAGCTGCCCGGACCATCGCCCGGGGCACTCGCTCGCCCCGCTGCGGCAGTGACTCGCCCGCGGCGCCGGAGGAGGCGGGGTTGTGAGGGGCCACGGGCCTGGCCAAAAGAGGTTGTTTAATTCAGCCACACCGCGTTACCCGCTCTGCTGCTCCCGGGTCGATCCACTCCCCCCTTCTTTCCGAGCACTAGTGCTTGCCAGCCCTTGGTCAGCTCTCTGCCCGGGGGGGGCTCTGCATGGCTGACCCAGTGACACTTCGTCTCTAGGGCGTTTTGTGAGGTGGACTTGGTTTAGAGAAGCCATCCTTAGGTGACTGTGTCTCAGTACAGCCTGGGGTACACTGTCCTTAGTAGGTTTCAGAGTCGCAGCTGTGTTAGTCTGTAGCCACAAAAAGAACCGGAGTCCTTGTGGCACCTGAGAGACTAACACGTTTATTTGAGCAAAAGCTTTTGTGGGCTACAGCCCACTCTTCGGATGCATAGAATGGGACATATATTGAGGAGATATCTATATACACACAGCTCGGAATTTGGTTTGGGAAAATGTATGGGAGGAGACAGGTCCACTGATGAACAAGGCCAAACAGATATTCTCCGCATCTTGAATACCCTATGACCTCACTGTTTCCAGCAGTTCTAGTACAGAAACTATTTTGTGGCTGTTACACTACTTTAGTGACTGAAGAAACTTAGTTTCTTCTGGACACCACGAGAACTTGATCTCCTGTTGTTCCACGTGAATATGCTGTTATCCTCCTTTATTGATACTGAAAGTGACTTTGGAAATGCTGCTTCATGAAATTGGGGGTGTGGAAATTCTATTTTTTATGCTACTCTTTATCATATCGTCTAGGACTTTATGCTCTTTTCACATATGTTATCACTTCAGTGATTTATGAGATTGGCTAACATAAATATAAAACAGAAAGTAGAAAAAATGTGCACTGGGTCCTATGTTTCCTAGATGTGATTAAATGTTGCCATCTCAGCAGTGCTAGGAGTTTAAAGCTAGCTCGTGTAAAATGTTGCTTCTCAGGTATATTTTGGCCAATCAGTATATTGTTTCAGTAGTATAATTTGACATGTATAAACACAGAAAGCAAAAACTTTAATCTATTGGAGGTATATTATACTGATGCAAAAAAAGAAATGTAAGGAATTTTTTTTACCACCTGGATTGGCTGTACATGTGGCAGTACAGTTCTTTGATTTATAAGTTGAGCTACACAAAGTTCCTACAAAACTATTTGCATTCTACACTTCCTTTTCATATTTTGTTTAACTCTTTCACTTCCTTAATTTTTTGGTAAATTTTGTTTATGCTTACTCTCTTCTTAATTCTATTTGATATTTTTCAAGAAAGCTCAGACTGCACAAATAAGGGTCAGTCTTAATTGGCAGAGAAGTTAGGCCTCTGCAGTAACCAAAGTGTAAGTTTCACCAGGCATAAATGCCACTAATTTAGTTTTTTGTTTTGTTTAGGCCAAAGACCTTCCAAAAGGGCTGAGCCAATAAATTTCACATACCTAAGCATAACTTGGTGTCATCTGTATATACTGAAATGTGATTTAGTGTTCTTTTAAGATCGATTTGTATCTTTTAGAGTAACTTATTTCTTGTTCGAGTTTTGCTTTTCCTAGCTAAAAGTTGGTCTGGAACAAGGCTCAACTTTTGCCTCACTCTTTACGGGGTACTTAGAGCTATGTGCTTTCTCTTCAGGATCCACTTCTACATGAAACAAGAAATGTCAACTAATGATAGCTGGTTCCTTATTTATGATTAATAAATGGAGATATTTCAAACCTCTTCCATTCTCACTTCTCTGCCCCACATCTTCATCTCACTTCTCATCTTAAGATATTAGCTTTTTGAAGTGGGAATCATATCTAGTGTTGGTACAGTTCGTAGAACAATGGGCCTGATCTTACATGGGGCTTCTTGGAGCTATTGTAAATTATAGAGCCAACAAATGCCATATACAACTTCTCACTTTAGAAAATATGTGTGGAAAGAGTGCATGAAATCTTGTTAACTGTATGTAGCAATTTGTACGGGAGTAGAGGTCTCAACCTTGAAGGTGATCTTTGACTACTGCAGTTGAAAAATGTTTTTATTGCTAGAGTCCGATGGAAGCTGCAGCTATCAGAGTTGTTTCATTACTGGTATTCTCAGGGTGTGGTAACCATATAAGCATGATTATAAGTCACATTCCTCTGCCAGGTAGCCTGTTGTTGTATTAATTGTCTGTGCCTGGAATAGTGGAGTCACTGGCTTCGCTAAAATATAAACAAATGTACAGAATAACTTCTCAGAGGGGAAAAAAGTTGAAAATGACATGAAAATTAATGTCATGAGGTCCAAAGTTAAAGGGAATTATCGAGATATTTCTTAACATTCCGTTCTGTTTACCATAATTCCTTGTACGCTTTAAATGGAAACTTTTCCTTATCAGCTTTTTGCTCACTCATAGTGACTTTTTCTACTGTAGGTTTCTCGTGAGTGCAGGGCTGCAAGCATGGACTCTTTCCAAAGAGAATTAAACCACTGTTTTTTAAATGGCATAAAGAATTAAATGGAAGTGGGGACATTAAGGAAGGAAAAAGTACTTCACACTTTGGACAGTGCAACTTGATCATTAGCCATAGTGGTTATACCTTTAGCCAGGGATTATGAGGGCAGACTGAGTTAACTACAGTTCCAGCTTTAGTTTAGATCTGAGCAACAGATGTGCTTTGTTAAGCTGTGAATTAAGTTACAATGCTCATATTTAAACTGTTTGGATTTGAATCGATGCCCTTTAAAATGAATGGAGCAATTCACACCTTAAAGCTATTGTTTCAGGCTCCTTGTGAACTCTGGCAGATGTTGCTGCATCAGTTGGCCTGAAAAAATGTGACGCAAAGATATCTCCACAACCATAACATATGAGAGGAGAAAAATTGAGGCTTGACTATGTGCCCCACCCCACTACACCTTAGGAAACACCGTTTTGAAGACTGACTTAAAATGTTAAGTTTCAGAGTAGCAGCCGTGTTAGTCTGTATCCGCAAAAAGAACAGGAGTACTTGTGGACTACAGCCCATGCATCCGAAGAAGTGGGCTGTAGTCCACGAAAGCTTATGCTCTAATAAATTTGTTAGTCTCTAAGGTGCCACAAGTACTCCTGTTCTTTTTAAAATGTTAAGATTTTCCTCAAGCCATTGTTTAAAGGGAACAGCTATATGACACCCTAGCAGAAAAGGTGATTGTGTGAAAGAACAACAAAAGGATAGACTACCTCTTGAGCAGATGTTCCCACACTCTTAAAAATAACATCTGGTGGTTGTATGTACAACTTCCCCTTACCCATCTAAGTGTCATCCATTTTTCAGCAGAATCAACTGTTAGAAAAATGTCTACTTTTAGCTGGCTAGTGCTAAAGATGGCCTTTTCTTCAAAGATAGCTAGGGAGCCACATAATTGATCTTTCCAGGGGTATGAAAGGCCTTTCCTGCAGTCAGTATAGTGGTATGTATTCCTTACCTAAAACTACCATATCTCTTTCTGTTGGAAATGCATCTGTTCTCTTATCTACAACTTTGTCTCCCTGTGGAGCTCTGATAGTGCTACCTCAGCTGCAGGCATCCTCTATGCTAGGAAATAGCTTCTGGTGCTGCAGCAGAGTGGTCACTTGAAAAATTAACTAGGTCAAAGTAAAGATAACATAGTGGGAAGTTAAGTTCTGCTTCTTGGGTCAAACATATAGGATGGGTAAAACAAGAGAAGAAGCAACTTACTGGAGCAATGAAAGTAGCAATACGGAAAAACTGTATTAGAGTAGAGAAGTGACACCTAGGAAGTATGCCTGTAAATATATTGAAAGAGGGATATGGAATTACAAAAGCCCTGAAGGAGCTGAGAGAAAATAATTGAGGAGGGGAGAGTTAAGTGGAGCAGAATACCAAAATCACTAATTTGCCTGGTTTTAGATGTTCTGCAGTAATTATCCTTCAGACTGGAGGATGGTGTTAGGTTCCCCACTTCATTTTGGTACTCTAACAAGCACTCCTAACTCTTGTGGAATGCTTTATTTTTCAGTATTTTTAATTGATGGCTTGCTGCAAGTAATGCAGCCCTGGAAACGAGTAACTCTGCATGAGATGGACAGAACTTGAAGAGCCATGGTTAGTTTGTAAAACAAAATATCAAGTTACTGTATTTTAAAATAATTGAGGAAAGGGGCAAAGGAGGGGAACTGCTCTAAGGGCTTGGCTACACTTGTGAGTTACAGCGCAATAAAGGAGCCCCGGGCGCACCAGCTCACTCCCCATCCACACTGGCAAAGGCACTTAGAGTGCTTGGACTCTGCGGCTAGAGCGCTGCTGGTACTCCACCTTGGCGAGAGGAATAACGTTTGCTGCGCCCCCGCTGGAGCACCAGTGTGGACGCTCTGATCAGCTTCCAGAAACGTCCCATAAATCCCCTTTAGTCAAGTGGCCACTCTTCTCATTGTTTTGAATTCACTGTAGGAATGCGGATATGCCATTTGAAAGCTCCGTTTCTGACAGCCGGCTGCTTATCTGCTGTGAGACAAAGCAACCATTAGTGTGGAATGCTGTGTGTGAGAGAGAGAGAGGTGAAGGGGGGTGGGTGTCTGATGCTGTCTGAACTTACAAGACAGCATGCTGACATGCTCTCAGCCCCCCCAAAACCCACTCTCTTCCCCCCACATACACACAACACACTCCCTGTCACACTCCTCTCCACCCCCCTCCATTTAAAAAACACATTGCAGTCACTTGCATGCTGGGATAGCTGCCCATAATGCACTGCTCCCAAT